ATCTGTCTGAGTAATTGGAGATGCAATAATTATGTCTGGAAGCCTCGGGCCAACCCTATTAATCTTAGCTTTCTGTTCCTGTTGCAATGAATCGTTTCAAATGACTTGCATAACGATGGATGCGACGTGTTGCCGCAGTTTTGGGTCGTCGTCTTTGCAATGGCTGGGGTAATCTTGCACGCCAGTTGTACATAGTGCTGGATGTGAAGCAAAACAATCCTTGTTAAAATAGGCAATGGCTGATTGTGCAAATGCGTTTAATGGTAATTAGGATATTGCTGGGTCTTGTTAAATTCACGTGTTAATTTCAACGATAACACAGATATTTGGAGCCTGAAGAGGTGTTATTGCATTATCTTTTACAATTGCAGAGAAACTTACGAGGGTTAGATTATTATCGATTAGTGCTTTTGAAGAATTTTAAATTGGAATCGTTACATCAGAAAATTGGATGGCATTTATTTGTCAATTATTTTTTTAATATTGAGGTTGATTTCACTTCACGACTATCATGAGACCGGTGTGTACCGACACACTTTTCTACCTACACCGGAACACCAGAATATTTCCCGACCAACACCGGAATATTCCCCGACCAACACCGGAATATTTCCCGACCAACACCGGAATATTCCCCGACCAACACCGGAATATTCCCCGACCAACACCGGAACATTTCCCGACCAACACCGGAACATTCCCCGACCAACACCGGAATATTCCCCGACCAACACCGGAATATTCCCCGACCAACACCGGAATATTCCCCGACCAACACCGGAACATTTCCCGACCAACACCGGAACATTCCCCGACCAACACCGGAACATTCCCCCCGACCAACACCGGAACATTCCCCGACCAACACCGGAACATTTCCCGACCAACACCGGAACATTTCCCGACCAACACCGGAACATTCCCCGACCAACACCGGAACATTCCCCCCGACCAACACCGGAACATTCCCCGACCAACACCGGAACATTCCCCGACCAACACCGGAATATTCCCCGACCAACACCGGAACATTCCCCGACCAACACAGGAATATTCCCCGACCAACACCGGAATATTCCCCGACCAACACCGGAACATTCCCCGACCAACACCGGAACATTCCCCCCGACCAACACCGGAACATTCACCGACCAACACCGGAACATTCTCCGACCAACACCGGAACATTCCCCGACCAACACCGGAACATTCTCCCCGACCAACACCGGAACATTCCCCCCGACCAACACCGGAACATTCCCCCCGACCAACACCGGAACATTCCCCCCGACCAACACCGGAACATTCCCCAACCAACACCGGAACATTCCCCAACCAACACCGGAACATTCCCCGACCAACACCGGAACATTCCCCCCGACCAACACCGGAACATTCACCGACCAACACCGGAACATTCTCCGACCAACACCGGAACATTCCCCCCGACCAACACCGGAACATTCCCCCCGACCAACACCGGAACATTCCCCCCGACCAACACCGGAACACTCCCCAACCAACACCGGAACATTCCCCAACCAACACCGGAACATTCCCCGACCAACACCGGAACATTCCCCAACCAACACCGGAACATTCCCCGACCAACACCGGAACATTCCCCGACCAACACCGGAACATTCCCCGGCCAACACCGGAACATTCCCCAACCAACACCGGAACATTCCCCGACCAACACCGGAACATTCCCCAACCAACACCGGAACATTCCCCGACCAACACCGGAACATTCCCCGACCAACACCGGAACATTCCCCGGCCAACACCGGAACATTCCCCAACCAACACCGGAACATTCCCCGACCAACACCGGAACATTCCCCGGCCAACACCGGAACATTCCCCAACCAACACCGGAACATTCCCCGACCAACACCGGAACATTCCCCGGCCAACACCGGAACATTCCCCAACCAACACCGGAACATTCCCCGACCAACGCCACTGAGGGTGCTGTAAAAAAATTCCCGCAAAAGGATTATTTCACGAGGTGGTTATAAGACTTCAGTGATCCCTTAACCAATCAAGATTAATTAATAGACACAATGGAAGGCCGCGCGCGGCGTGTTTTAGATAATGATTTGCTGATCGACTGGACTCGGCTAATCGAGAGTGGGAATTTTATCTTGTTTACATGTGTTCTGATCTCTTTGTTTGAGGCTTCGGCGACCAGTGTTGCGTCGGGTGGGAGGAGGATCTGGCAAGATCCAGGTGTGGGAAGGAGGTTCAGGTCGGTACGCTCTGATGCTCTTTTGTTCGTTGTTTTTTTTATGTTTTCATTATTGGAAATATGAAAAGGAATCTCTACATATAATCCAGCTTTATTAATGTTGTATAAATGGAGAATAGTGTATTAATTCAGGGATTGTTTGATGTAACTCATGTACACTACACATATAATAATAATAATAATAATAATAATAATAATAATAATAATAATAAAAATAATTGTTTTTGTGAAGCAGGCAGCAATTCCTCGACTAATTCCTATTCCTTTCACGCCTCTCTATCCGTGGATACCCTTCCCTTTAAATCAGTAAACAAGGCTTAGACAGATCCGGTTTGGGATTTCCTGGTCAGGTATAGGGACATAATTTTCTGTATATGGAATATAAGAAAACGGGGATATATGGGTGTACTTTCCTGGAGCAGATATGGAGGCTATTGTCAGTAACAGGGACACATTATGGCTTGGAAAAGGAACAGGGGCCAGATTCACGAAAGCACTTACGCAAGCACTTATGAACCTGTACATCTTTTTTCAATCTTTGACGGCTTTGTTTACAATTATTAAACAGTTAATGAGCTCCGAAGCACCTGGAGGCTGTTTATAACAATAACAACAGTTGAATGAGAAGTTTTCATCCTTGTAAACTGTTTAATAAATGTAACCAAAGCCGTCAAAGATTGAGGAAAGATGTACACGTTCGTAAGTGCTTGCGTAAGTGCTTTCGTAAATCTGGCCCCAGCTTCGTAGGTTTGCTCAGTACTGGACGCCATGATGTAGGAAAGTGAAGGACTCGTTGAAATCTAAATTTAGGAGAACAATTGAATTGAGACAAAATAAAGGTCACTAATAGATGGCATTATGCCCCTGAATAGGTGTTGACAGTGAATAGCTGTCTAGGGCAACTGGAATGTACTAACAATATCATCTGCTAAAAATAGTGGTACATTACATGGTCAATTTGATTTTTACAATTATTTAATCCCTTTTAATTCATATTCACTTTATATTATTGCATAATGTATAATTACTAGCACGGCGCTGATCCTTCCCAGCCACCGATTATTCATTTGCGATATAACGACCTCTTTCAATTAGGAATTCCTTGCTAGTAATTTTGGTAATATTACATCAATATCGATCATTTCCGCCACTGTTGCACCCACGTGTTGACAATGTCACTTAACCCACACAGTCGCATGTTTACATACAGCACGTGGTCATAATGCTTACTTAAAATAGTTACCGTGATGTTTACATACAACACGTGGCCGCAATATATGAATACAATAAGTGGCCACAATGTTTGCCTGCAACTCGTGCTTGAAATGATAACATACAGTATGTAGCCGCAGTGTTTATATACACTACTTGATCGCAATGTTTACGTACAACACGTGACCGCAGTGTTACATATAACGCATGGCAGCAGTGTTTACATACAACACGTGTTCGCAATGTTTATAAACAATATGTGGGCGCAATGTTTACAAACAACAAGCGCTCGCAATGTTTATGTACATCACATGACTATAATGTTTACATTATAATACGTGAGTGCAATGTTTACATTCAACAAGTAGCCGAGTGACGTTAGTTCATGGGGGTCTAATAACATGTGTTTGGAAAGTATTGATGGACACAGTATATTGTACAAAGTATATTGATGGAAAGTGTTGATAAACACATTGATGTATTCGCATGAAGCTAATGAACAGCACGTGTTAGTTTGGTGTGCATTGATGTGGACGTATAGTGATGTTTTCCCAGTGTTGATACACTTTTAAACTAAAGTAAATGGATTATTTTTGCCCTTTCTGTATATAATTAAATTTTTATTTTAGGGTAACTAAATAAATCATTGATGTACTGATGGCACACACACACACACATATATATATATATATATATATATATATATATATATATATATATATATATATATATATATATATATATATATATATATATGTAAGTTTTGTAATGATGTAGAATAATGATTGCTATATGCCGTTATAATAAGGAAAAGGAGAGAACAACAGCAGAAACACAAGAGGGATTTATATGGAGCGAAAAAATTTGTTTGAATTAAACTTTGTTCACTGCATTTAACAATTTATATATATATATATATATATATATATATATATATATATATATATATATATATATATACAAATAATAATAAAAATGTATAAGATACTTAATATCTACTCATAATAATAATAATATAAATATTGAATATATTCATAATCAAATACATGATATTAATTCATAACGATATTATATATATATATATATATATATATATATATATATATATATATATATATATATATATATATATATATATATATATATATATTATTAAATATGACCGAAAAAGTAAGATTAATAATTCTAACACGAATTTTCTCAATCTTTCGTACATTTCTTTTCACTGTTGGAGGTAAATCAAAAATCAATTCTCCAAAATTCATTTTTATTTCTATTCTGACGCGACACGAGCGCGTTTCGTAAAACTTATTACATTTTCAAAGACTTTTAGTTTACAAATACACAACTGAACAGAACTTACACATCTCCTGGTTTCGTTTATATCTACATTTGAGTGAGGTGGATGGGGTGAGGTGGCATTAATAGGGTATTAATTTCATCAACACAAGACAGAACAAGAGGTGGCATTAATAGGGTATTAATTTCATCGCTAAGATTTCATTTTTGCTCGCATGTGGTGATAGCCTTGATCATGACACTGACCTGGACCCGGGGAGTCAGGAGACATCACCAGGGTCAACAGAGCGATCTAAACCTTGCAAAAAAAGTGGAAATAGTTGAAGAGACCATAACATCAGTGTGGTAATGTTTACAAAATGAACGAGGGGGATGTGATGACCTGCCAACACCGACCTGCCAACACCGACCTGCCAACACCGACTTTCCGACCAGGACCTTCACAGCCGCGCGAAAAAAGGAATTTTTTGTCAAGTGAGAACGGCTACGAAATCCACACTGCCGATCAGTACTACAAAAGCCCATATTTTCCCCGACTCAACCAGCCCAGATGAGATTATTGTCCAGAAGACATCGGACAAACACACATGTGCTCCTACAAAATAATGTATGAAGACCTATTCACATATACTTCATAAATTTCAAAGACTTTCCAAAAATTTGCGAACTATTGTGTAAAATAACGTGGTGCTGATAACGAAAAAGTGGATGAATGAGACTTTCTCTCTCAAGAGTCGTCTGGGTTTGACATTGGCAGCGCTGAGCCCTCACCTTACACCGAGGCTCTCTCACACCTTTGAGTCGCGGGTCACAATGGCGGCCCCGGTGGCCCCTTTCTCCACACTTTAAATTGAAAACAGAGCGCATTGTACCAGCACCCTAGGGGGGGGGGAGGTGGAGGAGGAGGGCGACGACGACGACAATGACGACGACGACAACGACGACGACGATGATGACGACCATGACGTCGACGACGACGATGATAATAACAACGACGATGACGATGATAACAACGACGACGATGAGGATAACGACGACGACGACGACAATGATAACAACGACGATGACGATGATAACGACGACGACGACGACAACGACGACGACAACAACGACAACGATGCCGACGAGGAGCTAATTTACTCACAATGGCCACGGGAATGGACACGATGTTGTGTGCGGGAGATGCTACAGATTAGACAGGTGTAACTAACGATGGTCTTATAGATGTCAGAGTAATTAGCCCATCCTCTTGTTTAGTTAGTACTTACAGTAACGACCAGGACCATAGTACATATGTGACGTAATGGACAATTAGAAAATAGAAATATTTACTATTGAATTTTGACAAACCGGAAAAGGTTTTGTATTTATGTTATAAAGACAACGCAAGCTAACCTAATCTAAATTCCTAGGCCTAATACACGTTATCTAAGGCCTAATGTATTAAATGTATGTGGTATACTAGGCCTAAGAATATTTTAGTTTGTTTTAAGCTGAATTCGGACAGTATAAAGTGAATAGTACCAAATTCTACTATCTAATTTGACGTCAATATTTGTACTATGGTGCGCATAGTTACACAAAGTTCTATCCAAACAGGAGGATGAGTTGGAGTAATTGATGCATTCCTGCAAGAAGGTGCTGGGAGGTGCTACTGGGGGGGGGGGGTTGAGGGGGGGCGTACGTCATGCTTACAATGATTTGTAATGATATTTAGAGAGATTGAAAGATTGAGAGAGAGAGAGAGAGAGAGAGAGAGAGAGAGAGAGAGAGAGAGAGAGAGAGAGAGAGAGAGAGAGAGAGAGAGAGAGAGAGAGAGAGAAAAGAGAGAGAGAGAGAAAGAGAGAGAGAGATTGAGAGAGAGAGAGAGAGCGAGAGAGAGAGAGCGAGAGAGAGAGAGAGAGAGAGAGAGAGAGAGAGAGAGAGAGAAAGAGAGAGAGAGTGTGAGTGAGTTTCCACCCACAACCGTTCAGTGACTGGCCACTACAGACCAGTGTCTGTAGTAACTCAGGTATTATGAATATGAACAGATTTCGACATAGCGGTAAACATTAACAGTTCCACTCACCAGTAAATTAAACAATTATAGTTTTAGAAACTGGTAAGAGTCATTTCCGGAAAGGTTGTCGCTACGCAACATTTTAATGCGAATTGTAATGAATAAAATTAATATAAATTATATAACTCATCATGGTGCTTATGAGCGACAAAGTCCCTCCACTCGCCGACCCGAACATTTAATCCTATAAACAGTAATGGGAATGCTCTCGTGTAAATGATCCTCTTATCATGACAGCGGGTACAAGGTAGGGTGATAGCGGGTACAAGGTAGGATGATAGTAGGTACAAGGTGGGATGATAGCGTGATAGGATGATAGCTGGTACAAGGTAGGATGATAGCTGGTACAATGTAGGATGATAGCTGGTACAAGGTAGGGTGAAAGCGAGTACAAGGTAGGATGATAGCGGGTACAAGGTAGGGTGAAAGCGAGTACCAGGTAGGATGATAGCGGGTACAAGGTAGGATAATAGCAGGTACAAGGTGGGATGATAGCGTGGTAGGATGATAGCGGGTACAAGGTAGGGTGATAGCGTGGTACAAGGTAGGATGATAGCGTGGTAGGATGATAGCGGGTACAAGGTAGGATGATAGCGGGTACAAGGTAGGATGATAGCGTGGTACAAGGTAGGATGATAGCGTGGTACAAGGCAGGTTTTGGACCTTTTTAAGTTTATCCATGTCTTTCTTTGGTCAAGTAAGGGTTACATGCTGGGGATCCCAACTCGAGTGGGTCTCACCTTCGCGGTATATAGGGCCGGGAAGACTATTTTGTCGAAGTTTGGGAAGGATACCCGGATGTTGGTTAGTATGGCGGCACCCCTGTGTGTGTGTGTGTGTGTGTGTGTGTGTGTGTGTGTGTGTGTGTGTGTGTGTGTGTGTGTGTGTGTGTGTGTGTGTGTGTGTGTGTGTGCGTCCAGGTGTGTGCACAAGGATATGTATGTGTATCAGTGCGTGCGCATTTATGATACATTTGTTAAACTAATTTTCATCTGAAATTCCCGGTGGCGTAAAAAATTCTCAATGACAAGTTAGATTGACTCAGCATCCCTCGAGCATCTCAAGAGGCTTATCTTAGACTTACCTGACATCTCTCAGACAGCTGTTGAAGGATATGACAGGTTTCTAAAACAAAACTTTTAACTTCCGTAAATTACTCCATGTTTATTTTACTGTGGTTCACGAGGCCGCTCTCTTATTTTTTACGTAAAATACTATTTACACGTTTAATGGTTATATGTACATTGATATGCCAGCCCATCCTACTGAAGTGAAAGTACTCTGAGTAAATATTTGTGGTTAAGTACCATCAGTACTTTCGTTTTAGGAGCATTTGGCTGCGATTTTTACATTGTGGTTAGGTCTGAGGCTTCCGAAATTTAGTGCCATTTATCTAGCTTCCTTGTCTGTCTTTTTCTTTTGTGTCTTTATTGCTATTTTCTCCAAATTAATAATGCTCCTCTCTTAATTATTCTTAAACACTCACTGACATACCTTTCTTTCCTCCTTTTCTCTCTCTCCCTCCTTCCCTGTTATCAATTTCTGTTATTCTGTTTCTTCAATACCTCCCTCCATATACCCACCTTCCATCTACCCCATGGACACTTTCCCTACTACCCCCCTTCCCTTCCTACCCAATACATTGTGTATGGCAGCACCAACACCTCGGACCAGGTACAAAAATAACAGCTAAGAAGATTAGCCGCGAGGGGTCGACGCTGTTCTGTAGGGCGTCCACTGGCCGGTTCCTGCCCCAGCTCAACCCCTGTTTTACCTACCTCTAGCAGAGGGGAAAAGGGGCCCTATGTACACCTGGCGCAAGGGAGAGAAAAGGGGAAGAGGGGTGAAGGCTCTTGAAGCCTTGTTTACTCGTGACGAGGATTGAGGACTGGAAGCCAAGCTTGACAATAGAAGGAGTGAGAATGATAGACTGGGGACAATAGTGCCCAGGAGAGGCTATGGTGGTGGTGGTTGTGGTGGTCCTGGTAGTGGTGGTGGTGGTGGTGGTGGTGGGGGGCCTCGATGATTGTGGTGGAAGGTCTCGATGCTTGTGGTTGTAGTTGGAGGCCACGATAGTTACTGTTGTGGTTGAAAGCCTTTACCACCTATGAAACTCCCCTAGAATTTCTTTTCAGCGCCTCCCAAGCCGGAGGGCAAAATACAGACATAATGGGTTTCCGCAGTCCGAGTCTCCTAGAACCCAGGTGAATGAAACAATGTGTGTAATCCCCCCCCCCACGAGGTGAGTCAAGCGCAGTCCCGTAGTTCGTAATGATTGTGATCCCAGGTGAGGAATGACAGTCAGTGGAGTGCAGAGATACGGACGTTTAAAACACCGCTACAGCTCCCGCGTGTTCCCCCCCTTCACCCCCCCCCCCCAACACTCTCATCGACAGCCTTCCTCACAGCAATAAATTAAAACTTTGTCAGAAGCCCAGAAAATAATTTTCCACCTCGCCAAAAATAAAAATTGCAGGAGACGAAACTGTAAAATTCACTAATGTTCAGAATCATGCAGCTTTAATCATTTACCAAACAATTCGTTGTGATTTTCTGTTGTTTGAGGAGTCACCGAGAAGATAACTCTTGGAATAATACCAACCACTTGGATTGGACGGCAGAGCGATGGTCTCGCTTCATGCAAGTCGGCGTTCAATCCCCGACCGTCCAAGTTGTTAGGTTACCCCCGTCTCACCCCAAATCCTTATCCTGGCCCCTCCCCAGTGCTATATAGTCGTAAAGACTTGGCGCTTTCCCTTGATAATCACCTCACCTCTTGGAATAATAGGGTAACAGTCTAGCTGAAATTTAGTTGTAATTTTTGGCGTCCCGTGTGCCAAATAGGCGCGGCCTCTGACACGACGTGAGAGCCTACCTGTTTTGGTCACCTGGTGTCCTCTCGTCCGGGACACGTGGTGACCGTGGTCACCTGGAGGCCTAACTACTGGCGTGGAACAGCTCCGTTACAGGAAATTAGAGCTTCTGTATTTTATTTGCCCTTAATATCTGCTCTTTCAAACACTCCTTATAATTAGAGTCCCTTAACAAGAGAATAATTTACCTCTTTATTGGCGTTATATTCAATAGCTCCTCAGTCACTTAGCGGAGGTCTTTGATCAGCTGTCCGTCCCACTCTGACACAGCACTACCCTTAACCCTCTCCGTGGTCACTACTCACTACCCTTAACCCTCACCGTGGTCACTACTCACTACCCTTAACCCTCTCCGTGGTCACCACTCACTACCCTTAACCCTCTCCGTGGTCACCACTCACTAACACAACCTCGTGGCGTTAATCATGTTCCACGAGAACAAAGTCTCTCATTTTCCCCCCACCCTCCAGGCGACTCGGCCGCTCCATCAGCTGCCACGGCTTGGAAAAATGTGCTTTGACAAGGTGTTCCTTTCACACCGGCGCGCTTGGAAGTCCCTGGAACACGCCATATACAAAGGTATTATCATTTGGTGGCCCGGAGCACATGTCACTGTTTACTTCAGGACTGCCTGTTTGTTGGTCGTTAAAATAATTACCTCTGAAATCACTTCGATAGATATGGAACTTCCAAAGGCTCGGGACTGGAGTTCTTGGACAATTTGTCTAGAGCGTTTGTGATTAGATTACCTTGGACACCCGGGAAAATCTAGCGGAAAATCTAGAGGAAAATCTTGAACATAACGCACAAATCTCTTACTATTAGGAAGACTGTTAATTAAACCATTACCACTAGGAACACTGCTAACTAAAACTGCTCTGTTAAACAACGCTTGGAACACCTCCACCAGAAACGCTATCACTTGTAACAAGACTTATCCGTTCTCCTTGATCATGAACTATGTTACCAGAAACCACCGGTTCCAGAGTTTCCAAAATCAGCAACACTGATTCCTTGAATGACATCGCCTGGAATGTTGAAATCTTACATAATGATGACTGGGGTATGACCACCTATAACCTACTATAAAATCCCGAAAGTGAAGAACTGGTATCAAGATAGACTGTGGAATGAAAAAAATATTATGGATCACTACATGAAAAGGACAGCTGAAAATAAATTATATGATACTGGAACCTGGATCATTATTTCCTCTTAAGCTTCTCTTTAAAACTTTCCAGAATACATCCGTCTGTAACCCTGTGAGGTAGAAT